AGGGGCTGCCCAATGAAAAGGAACCCAATGAAGCGCATGCCTCTGCTTCTTCCTGACAACCAGCATTGAGCTCTTCAGTCATGTTATCTTACTATAGGTTATAAAATATCTTCGAACAGAAACTGTTCTGCTTGGTTCATAGATGTCTCCCCCGTTCCCGCAAAAAGATACCTTGACAGGGTCATGATCCTCCAAGTCTTTCATCATATCCCGTACAGTTTGCCTCTCAAAAAAAATCTTTTTATTATAAAAATCCATTTATCACCATGTCTTATGTTACTATGCTGGTTCAGACTGGTTTCTAGATTGTTCACCTCACCTTGATTCCTGTGACAGCTAGCTGATGGGAATCTCTCTTGCTTGTCATACTCTACTCTGGTTCTTTCTTAGTCCCCCTCCGCTCCTTTCCTTCCTCTTTCCTCTTCCTTATCTCCTCTCTTTCTCTGTCTCTCTCCTTTTCTCTCTTCTTTCCCATCCTTTCCTCCCTCATTTGCATACCATAGCATGTTTTATTCATTTATTTGGCAAACATGATCAAAGCCTATTCTAGGCCAGGTGTTTGGTGCTACAGCCACAATGCTCTACTCTCTATACTGCAGTCTGAGCAATCATACTAAGAAATCAGCTATCAACTCTCATCAGCTCATCTCCTGAGCAGACAAGGCTCATGTGCACTTCTTTGGGGAGCAGAGTCCTCCATACTCCTCAAGGTGTGGCCCAGCAATAACTGGAAATCCTCAGCTGTACAGGCTCCTCAAACCTAGTTGTCAGCATGCCTCCTCCTGTCAATCATGGCCACAGCCATGACAAGCTTTTCTCCCCCTGCTTACAAACAGATACTCACTTCCTTGCTCTCCATGGAGGTGAAAATGCTTCATTGCTGAAATTAAGCCATCGTTGTTTCTTTATGGGCTACATTGAGGATTTGCAAAGATAACTGTCTCCACATATCTCAGAGGTATGAGCTAAGCTCTGAGTCACCCTATCAGTTGGAATCCTTTCCTGTTTTCATTCTGCCAACATCTACACCCTACCCACACAGCACACACACACTCGTGAATTTTTTTCTTTATAACAAAGTAAAACAATAGTTCCTCAGCTACTCCTTTCTTAGCAGTCTTCAAAGTCAAATTTAGAATCTTTTCTCCTTAACCTTTCAGACACAAATGATTGGTAAGAGTAAGCACCAAGAATAGAAAAAAAAAAAACACACTGTAGAATCTTGCCTAGGCATCCAAGTTTGAGCTCCTGATGTGATGTCTCCCATGCCACTTCTGAGAGAGTAAGAGCACAGCTAGGTTTCTATTCCTTCTCTTTTCTTTTTGATTACACAACTCACCAAATCTTTTCTTGCCCATTAACTACCCCTATGTTGACAGCCTGCGTTAATTCATGCATCAAACTGAACTCTGTTTTCTACCAATCGTTGAGATAGGTATTAAGGATACAGAGTGACCCAACAAGTGAACTACCTTCCTTCAGATAGCTTTCACTTTGTATAGAACAAGCCTTCTGGGCTGAAAAAAGATAGAAAAGACAGTGAAATAGCAGGGGATAAGACTAAAAAGGAAAGCAGGGGCCCTGTGGTGAGAGGTCTGTGTGGTACCCTAAGAAGTCTAGACTCCTCAAGCAAATGATGAGAGGTGACTGACATTAAATAATAGCAGATAAGCAATCTGCAGTGGGAAAGGATGCTATGTCCTTGGGTTGAAGAATTTAGATGGTCTTAAACTGAGACAAATAGGATCAGTGTAATTTAAGGATAAGATTATATGAATTTGAATAATGTGGAAGCAAATTTATTAAATGCAGATTTGATGATTATTTTAAAAATTTAAAGCTTCAAGACATACATTGACTGCATGTGGCAAATGTCCTGGACTCCAGAGACTCTCAGTGGGGTAGAAAATATTCCAAAATCCTACTTCATTTACGATACCTCGGTGACCTTTTAAGCAATAGTTTGTAGTCATAGTAACAAATTTAAAATGGGTCCTTGCTTCCCTTACAAGTAGGTGATTCTTGTTCCCTATGTTCTATGACAGATGACAGGCAAATTATTCATTTGGTTTTTGAAGGTCCAACATAGGAGTTGAAATGATGAAGAGCCCTAAGTACATTGCTGTCTCCCAATGCAACAGTAAGTCTCTCCTACCTGAGGTAGCTGCTTTTATTTATTTTTCTTCTCTTCTTTTTTGAGATAGAGTCTAACTGTATAGGCCAGGCTAGCCTCAAACTCACGGGGCTTCCACTTGCCTCTGCCTCCTGAATGCTGGGACTAAAGGTGTGCTCCACCCAGGAGTAGGTACTCCTTCATGGTTATCTCTTGCAGAGAGAAGGTTTTCTCAGTATTAACTGTAATTTTCTAGATTATAATTCCTAATAAGTTCCCATGACATCAAATAGGCTGTGTGTAAAGGAGAGAAACCAATTTAAAAAATTATTTCATATTCTTTGATAGCAGACTTCATCTTGATTCATCCCAAAGGTGAAAATATCAATACTGTTCATTCATACTTTCAGCTAGGAATGCATACTCTTGTGCCCTAGCTACTGAGCAGATGTCTTTGATAGATACTGGTAGCTTCATCAGCATTGCAGGTTTAGATTCTGTTCCAATTTTAGTATATGCGCTGCCGAAGTGAGCATGGTAGATTTAGTTTCTGAGTGTCTGTTAGCATAACCTCTAATTTAGTTGTAGCACTTACCAAGTTTATGTGGTATTTCCATCTTATTAAGTGTTTGATGGCAAGCACAAAACAGCATAAAGCAGAACTATACAGGAAAGAATATTTACAGTGCCTTATCTCCAGGAGAAACTCCCACAAAATCTGTTTTAGCTTATCAAGAACACCAATACACTAGGCAACACGGAAGGATTTATTGCCAATATTCATTCATTTACTCAATAAATACTTATTGAGAGACTCTCAGATACTGGAAAGCTAGTGATGTAGAAACCATTAAGTCTACTAACTCTGTGAAGAAGTCATACACAGAACTTGCATTCCAGCCAGTATTTTACTAATCCCAGAATGATATCTGTAGGCAGAGAATGAGGGGGAAAAATAGAAATCCCATAAAGGACATGATAGATTTGCCAGAGATAAGTAACAATCATGCATGGGATCAGTTAAATTTGAGTAAATTCCAATTGCCTCTGCAGGAGAAATATCATGTGACACAGTTGTTAACAAAATACTTTTTTTCAGAGTGATTGAGATTTACTGTGAGATCCTGCACATTCTCACCAATAAGTTTTGATTAGATAAACTCTAGTAATAAGCAAAATTATCATGAATCATTTTTAATAGACCAATTAGGTAAATGTAACCAAGGATGAGGCTAGAAGCATAAGAGCCTAAATCACCATAATCCTTAAACACCACATTGAAGATTTCAGTGGGTTTTGTTGTTGTTGTTTTGGTAGTGTTTTAAAGCCACAGTCCAAGTGAGGAAGAAACTGCTCTAAACAGTAATTTTCATCTACAACTAAATAACTGACCATGATCTAGATGAAGACACTTGTAGATGTTACCAAGGGACGTAATCTATGCAAATAGAAGAAAATATACTGCTTCTAGATAGAATGACTTCACACTGAAAAGATGTTAGTTTCTTATTGCTGTTATAATAAAGTAATGTAGAATGGGGGAAATATATTGTTTTATTTGATATTTCTCATGCTTATCACCAGTCTCACTGACTTCAGTCAAGATACATTGGGCAGTATGTCTTTCTGGCTCAGAAGAATTGTGTCCTGCACCTTCTGCAGCTGCTAGAAGCTCCCACATCCCTTGAAGCCCACTCTCAGTCTCCAGAACCACAACCATGTCAAATATTCATGCCATGTCTTTCTTGTCCATCTGCCTCCATCTTCCACTGATGAGATGGGGTTGGCCAGATAATGTAGAATATCTTTTTCATCACCAGCTCATATGCACAGTTACATCTGGAAAATTTATCTTGTCATACAAAGCATAGTCACAGGGTTGAGGCATTAGGGCCTGGAAAACTTCAGGGACAATACAATGTAGCCATTAGTACACCTTCCACAATCTCTAAAGTAATTAAAAATATAATAAAATCACATATGATTGGCCATGCCTTACTCAAGATACCAGAGTTAATAGTAAAATAAATAATGAGTTAATGTAAGGAAATGATGCCCTGATGTATAAGTTTGCACTTCATATGCTTTATGGTAAACTCGCAAGGCTACTCTGGTGGTAGTGGGTTACCATCCAACCAGATTATCTTCTTGGTGCATTATCAAAGTAGAGAATATGTAGTAATGATGGGCCTGAAGTTTCTACACTTAGTGTTCAGCTGTTCAGGAAACAATGCTGCCAAGTCCAACTGTGTCTTAACAAAATGGCAACATAACTAGTGGGACTGAAGGAAATTCCATTTGACAATTAAATTACTAAAATTTGAGAGTTTATTCTAGGTGTATTTTATAATTTTGCCACCGGCACAATGTTGTCACTTTATCTACAAATTACAAATAATAGCTGCCCCTAAGGGAATGAATGGGTTCAAGACTTACCTTGGATACTTAAATATATAGATGTTAAAGTTCTTTACATGAAATGGCCTAGCATGTTTGCATAACCTATGCACATCTTGTGAACTTTAATCAGCTCTAGAGTACTTCTAATACTTGCCATTATAAATGGTGGATAAGTAGTTGTAATACAAAATTTTTGAGGGAACACTGATGAGGAAAAAAAAAAAACAAACAGCATCTACTTGCTCAGTACAGATGAATATTTTTCCTGAACATCTTTCATGCATGATTGTTTCAGTTCACAAGTACAAAGCCTATGAGTACAGCAGGCTAAGCAGGGGCCAGAGAGATGGCTCATCAGGGGTAGTATACCAGCATGGGAAGAATGGCAAGAAGCATGACATGAGCAAACTGTGGCACACCATGATGAAACACCAGATACCACTGTGACAGAGCTGTCATGAAGTGGGACTTGAGAGAGCAGTCCAGAATATTATTAGTCCATGTGAGGTGCAATTTGTCACTTTTAGCAAGGTCCGCTTAAGACATTACTGAGCTGGGCATTTCATCCTAACGTGTTTAATGGACTCTACTGTTAAGTATTACATGTCACGCCTTCGTGAACATTACTCTTTCACTGACAGAGAGAGAGAGATAAGGGATTTACTGGTAAGGAAACCAAGTGGCACCACTGTAACGTCACTCAGATTATAGAAAAGACTGGTCATCAAAGAACCAATGGGAATGACAAAGAAAGAAAAAAATTATCACTTTGAGCTAATGATCATATTTGGAAAAAAGCATACAGAGAGGAGACCCAGAATCACTCAAAAGATTTAGTAGGAGAATCAAATAA